CTGGGTAGCTCAAAGGGTGAAGCGCTTGACTGCTACCTGAAAGGTTGGCAGTTCAAACCAACCAAGAGGCACCTCAGAAGAAAGGCTGGGTGCTCTGCTTCCGAAAGGTTATAGCCTTGAAGCAGTTCTACTCTGTGCACACTGGATTGCCAGGAGTTGGAATCGATTCAACAACTGACAACCACCACCTAAAATGGGTTTTAATGCTGCCCCACAATCCTACCACATATAATTATTTCCCTCGTTAATTCAGTCTTTAAACTCTCCTAGAGAACTATTTCTTTTATACCTTCTCTTCAGGCCTCTAACACTACACACCCATACATTTTCAGCTGATGTACTTGCTTTCTATTTCACATAGAAAACAGAAGCAGAGACTTTCTATTCTCTCCTACCATCAAAGCTACCACCCCAACTTGAATCTGTACTTCAATAATTCTGCCTTCCCTCCTGGTATGAATGACTGAACAATGTAAGGCCAACTTCTCTGCTTGTCTTTGACGGTGGGGTGACATCTAGCATACACATGGGGAAGATGGTCTTAGATATAAGTTATAAGATGGGAAGCAAAAATGGCCTATTTATACCCCAAGATGAACAATTCATCTTAAAAACAGAAGCAAAGCTCCTTTGACACCATGTTATCCTCCAACTAGCACCCTATTACTTTGATCCATTTACAGAAACACTCCTCAAAAGTTGTCTTCTTTTACTGTCTCCTTCTTCTTCCTTTTTCTCATGAGTCTATTACTCTAAGTAGTCTTTTGATCCCAGCACTTCAACTGTTAAAGACACAAATACCTCCATATTGCCGCAGAGACTATGCTTTGATGTGCCAGAAACTACTGCTGTGGGACCTTGGGCATGTCATCTAACTCCTCTGGGGTTTATTTTCCTCAAAGGAAAAAGAAACGATTCCAGTAATTAAAATATTTAGGGGATATCTATTATTTGCCAAGCAAATGGCCCTAGATCACTGCTTCAGAATTCACGCCTAAAATAAAGAAATGCATAAATAAATTAGAATACAGATACAGATTACAGAGGAGATCAAGGAATTTGAGGAGTTAGGGAAGGCTTCAGTGGAGGCAAGGAGTCCTGGTGCTGCAGT